TGAGCTGAATCTGTTTAGCCTTGAGCAAAGGAGACTAAGGAGGGACATAAGAAATTTACAAATGAGAAAAGGTCATTCAGCCCATCAAGCTCGTTTGGGGAGAACTTAACTAATAGCTCAGAGTTGTTAAAATCTTATCTAGCTCTGATTTAAAGGAACCCAGGGTTTTAGCTTGCGCTACACTAGTAGGAAGACTATTCCATACTCTAACTACACGCTGTGTAAAGAAGTGCTTCCTCAAATTTGTTTTAAAATGTTCTCCTGCTAAAACCAGGGAGGTCTCCCTGTAGATTTTGCTGACCAGGGGGCTGGAACAAATTTCAGGGGGTGTGCAAACTCGTAATTTCACTACCTGGCTATGTGCCTGATCGGTAGCAAAAAAATTTCAGGGGGGTGGATGTTACTAATATAATTGTCATCATCATCATTATTAGCTTACTGCCAAATGGCTGGAGCCTTGCCATTCTCTGGTTGCTCTGCTGTTGCTGTTTGCTCTCAGTGCTGGAATCCATGAATTGTGTCACTGCTGAGTCATTTGCTGGCTCCATCAGGGCAGTGCTGTTCAGGAGTGCGTCCAACATCATGGAAGATCTACACCAGCACTTGCCAACACTTACCCACAATCATGTTCCCATCATCCCAAGGTGCCCCGCATTTCATCCGTGTTTCTCAGGTGACCCAGCAGAACTTGGGGACCGCAGGTGCCCATGAATGGCTCTGAGCTGTGTTTGAAATGCGAGAGAAACCCAACCATCAGCCTCGGCCCTTTCTATTGGGCCCCCTCCCACCATTGCTGTTTGAATATTCATTGTGTTGATGAAGGATGCTCATTGGCTATAGCGTTGCTATGATAAAAATCAGTGTTTCAGATGAAGCCTCTGGCTGTCTGAGATTCATCGCTCATCTAGCTTTATACATCGCACTGTTAAGACAAAGGGGCTTTCATTTTAGTCTGGTGTTGGTTAGAAGACAGCCGATTCAAGAACTGACTATGCGAAAGAGATGCAAAGTTTGCTAAAACGAAGAGCTTCACGGTGCGAATCTTCAGTGTGAGTGTGAGTGTGAGTGTGTGCCCCAGGCCAATCTATCCGGCAGTTCTAATTTGCACCATTGCCAGTCAGACTCATGCCTGGTGATGGAGTCCAGAGCCAAAGAGGACATGGCGGGGATGTTAGTTACTGATTCTGTCCTCCCCAAACCTCCCACAGATGCAGAGAATCAGACAGTGGCAGTGGAACCGAGCTCTGCCTCCCTGCCCCCCCCCCCGAGCCCTCAGGGCTCCTCCACAGCCTCTTGAATTTTAACGCGTCCGTGTTTGTGAGGCAGCTCTGTCCGCTTGAGTGCTTCTCGTCAAGGCTGCCCAGCCAATGAAAGCCTTTCTCTCCCCCACCTCCCGGTGCCATCTGGAAATAGCGTTGCCTAGTAATTTCCCCGCAACGGCCGAACTCGGTTATTTTTAAAACGAGTCCGAAAAGGTTGAAAAACCAATGGACTAACACAGAGAGTGAAAGCAGGGCTTTTAAAACTCCTCACTTTTCCTTGTCCATCTCAAAAAGGACGATTCAGGAATGATGTCACAAAAGACAACCGAGTAGATACTGAGAGTGGTGTGAAAACACTGGTGAAAATGACAGCTTTCAGGAAGATCCCATGACGAGTGTAATACATTACACTATGATTCATTGCTTTTCATTCGGTGTGTTTACAGTTCTTTTCTTTACAGTTTCATTCTTTTACCTGTTCCTCTGTCATTATGGGGCTTTTCATTTCTTTGTTTCCTACGCATGTGCTAATTTCTCATTGGCTGTTCCTTGTTCTCATGACACTGTGTAAACTCAAGGTCAGTTTGTGACAGTGCTAGAAATGCTAGATGTTTTGGTTGTGGAAAAACAACAGCCAGCCCCTTAATATTATGATCGCAGGTGTGAGGTTATTTTTCTCAGTGCTCGATGACCAAGGCTCTTCTATTTTTCCTTCAAGCCTGATGTGAGTGCTTCCTGCTCTGTGTATCGACAGTTTCACCCTTTGCCCGGATTTTATTTGAGTATGAGCACAGCATTACTCTCATTTGTCACAGCAGGCCAAAGCGTCTTGTTTAGGTTACATTGTGCATCACCGGTGAACGTGGTTGCTATTCCAGCAAGAGCAATTTAGGGCTATACAGAAGTGGAACTGTGGGAGGAGAATGACAGGAGGATTAAAGGAGAATGAAGGCACAAATTAAATCTTTAATTCTGCTCCCTGGTTCCAAAAAACAATTTCGAGAGATTACAATGAATATATTATTTAAAGAAGTCATTTTTCAGGCACAGAAGACCCATGACCAGTCAGACTTGTTTTTTGATGGTGTTTTATTACTTTTCCATATTTGTGCTTTAAAAAACCCACATTTTCCAACCCTGAATGTCACGCTTTCTTCATGTAACTGAAACCTCAGCTTGCTCAGTGTGTTTTATGTTTTCACGTCCTGTAAAGTTTCACTTTTATTTCATGGATAAACATACATTATAACTGCGATTCTCTAAGGCAGGAGAGTGTAAGGAATCCCCCGATACTATATCTTATCTTTTCTAAATTTGCACACAGAATTTTCATATTTGCTGTGACGGGTGTGACAAAACCAAAGAATAATATTCTGAGCATCTGCCCTTCCAGTGCAATGTGCTGCATGTACATTTAATCAGCTGCCTTTTATTGAAATGTAACTAACGCTTCAGTTCCATTATTCCAGTCCCTGATGTATCAATTTCCAGTTGCATCACTTATCTTCAGTTTCCTGAAAACAATTTAGCTTATCCTCCAAGGGTTGGACGGATGCTACAGCAATTGTTGTCAGGGAAGCCCTGCATGTGAAATAGCATGCCAAGAGATAGTGGAGACTGAAACAGCAGCAGGTTGCCTCGTCAAGTAATAGTCAGTGATGAGTGTCATCCGATTTTTATGGTGAAAACAGGTAAAATAGAACATTTCAAATTATTTTGTATTTTAGAGCAGGGAAGTGTTGGGTGCTGTATAAACTGCTGAATACCTAATAACAAGGATATTTATGGAGTTTTGTTAGTGAATAGCTGAATACATTTAAATTTAATATCAAGAATTTCTGTAAAATACTGGGATAATGCGACAGAATTGGGTACGCATGCAAACTCAGGAATAGCTTAGCTGCTAAAAGCCCGTCAGTCATCGAGTGATTTCTTGCCAGGTGTTTCTCTGGTCTTGGCACGGAGCTTGTTCACTTGAGACTCGGCAATGTCTGCCCTCTCCTCTGCTTCCTCCAGTTCATGCTGTAGCTTGCGAAACTTGGCCAGGTTGGCATTGGCCAGCTCCTCTGTCTCTTCAGTGGATCGCTTGTAGGCCTTGACCTTAAGCTGCAGCTTGTCCACCAGGTCTTGGAGCCGTGCCATGTTCTTGCGGTCCTCTTCTGTCTGATAGGTCAGCTCCTTGATGCGCCTCTCATACTTGCGCACTCCCTTCATGGACTCTATCCCACGCTTCTGCTCTGCCTCCAGCTCACTCTCAAGTTCCCGTAGCCGGGCTTCCATTTTCTGGACTTGCTTCTTCCCTCCTTTCATAGCGATCTGCTCGGCCTCATCCAGACGGTGCTGCAGGTCCTTAATGGTCTGCTCCATATTTTTCTTCATGCGCTCCAGGTGAGCACTGGTATCCTGCTCTTTCTTTAGCTCCTCTGCCATCATGGCAGCATCTGTGATGGCCTTTTTGGCCTTCTCTTCTGCATTGCGGCTCTCCTGCACCGCTTCCTCCACCTCGGTCTGCAGCTGCATGAGGTCCCCCTCCGTCTTCTTTTTCTGGTTGATCAGGCTGGTGTTCTGAGAGTGAAGGAGTTGCATTCTCTCTGCGGCCTCTGTAAGCTCTTGCTCAGCTAACTTTCGCCCCCTTTCTGTCTGTTCCACTACAGCGCGCAGCTCCTCTAGCTCTGCTTGTATGAGGTTGTTTCTACGCTCCAAGATGGCAACATTCTCTTTTAGCTCCTCGTTACCTCGTACAGAATCATCCAGCTGTAGCTGGGCATCTTTCAGGTACGACTGGACACATTTGAGCTGCTTTTGGGCTTCTGCGGCTTGTCTGTTAGCCTGGCTCAGTTGTATCTCCATTTCATTGAGATCTCCCTCCATCTTCTTTTTGATTCTCAGGGTCTCGTTACGACTTCTCGTTTCAGATTCAAGGGATGTCTGCAAGGACTCCACCATGCGCTGATAGTTTCTTTTAGCTTGTTCCATCTCCTCATCCTTTTCAGAGAGTTTACGTTCAATTTCTGCTTTTACCTGGTTGAACTCCAGCTGGGCACGAAGGATCTTACTCTCTTCATGCTCTAGAGAGCCCTCTGCTTCCTCGAGAGCGGACTGCAGCTCAGCCTTCTCCTGTTCTAGCTGCTTTCTGATCTTCTCCAGCTCGTGAACATTCTTCGCTCCATCCCCAAGCTGGTCAGTCAGGTCAGAGATCTCCTCCTGTAAGTTCTTGTTTTCTCTCTTAATTGTCTCTAACTGGTCAAGTGCTTCCTCATACGCATTCTTCAGTTTGAAAAGCTCAGTGCTAAGAGTGCGGGCCTCCTTCTGAGA